CTAATTCAGTTTTTTAATAGCAAAGACCAGACATCTTACGAACGGGGATTTTTTACTCTGCCAGAACGATGGAAAAAGGTCATCGACAAGAACGGTCAATATCTAATTGAATAAAGTTATATTTTTAAACAAAAATTCCGAAGTTGCCTTCTTATTTGAAATCGGCAATGACTTAGTTGCCAACCTAACAGGTATGTGACTTTCGAAGGAGAAAATAATATGAAACGAGGTCATATCGAAAATTTGGGTGCTTAAACAATACAGCCTAAACTCTTCATTTCAAACTTTGCTAAACCTAAAATTGATCGGAAATTCAGTTGACCTCCTTGTTTTTATTACTTGTAAAATGGAGACATCACATTTTGCCAAAAATGAAATTTTGCGTCAAATCTACACCACATTGTTATTAATATAATTTTCAAAATTCAAATCAAAATGCCAAATAAAAATAGGGGCCCATTTTTATCAAATCCTAGACTGCCACTCGATTTCAGACTACCATTGGCAATAAAAAGTCCAAACCCCTAAATTAAAATGCAAATAGCACTTCATTTTGATAGAGAAAAAGGCATCCTGTAGAAGCTCTGAAATGAATCCCAAATTCTACCAGCTCTTGGGTTAATTATAGTTAACTGATCAAAAGCCGCTACAGCCCAAGTCCACTGTGGGGCCACTTTAACCCCACTCTTACGAGTTGGGGCGGGGAGGGGGGGCGGGAGGGGGTGGGGAGGCAGGCTATTGACTAAGCATATCTTTTACTTAAGCCAGAAGTCAACTGCCAGTTAACTACCCTCACCCCATTGTATGTCATATTCGACTACTTTCACAGTACTCACCTCACCTTTCCCACTTTTGTGTCTGTCTCTTTTACGTCTTTGAAACTCTCTTCTGTTCCCCCTCCCCTCTCGAATTTTTTTCATTTTGATGTTCCTCCTCCTCTGTGAAGCCTGAAGTCAACTAAAGGGCTAATGATAACTTTCACAACTCCTGCCATTTGATATAAATAAATCTTTCACTTAAGCTCCTTGAAAAGGTAAGACTCTACGGATGAGGGCGAATGCAGCGTTGGATAGAGCTCAAAGGTTATTAAATATATGTAAAGGGGAGAGTATTTATAATTCAGTTCGAAGGATTGGCATCAAGAGATGAAAATTTAGAAGTCGTCATAAAATAGAAAATTCGGCATTGGATTGTTCCACATTTATTCTTGTTATAATAGTAGTATGAAGCTTTGACATTATCAAATGGTTAACGCATAGATGGGTATTGAAATTACCCTCTTCTCCTGTATTGGCTATTTTGCCTACTTTGTTCGCTTGAAATTATTGCAAATATTCTCCTCTAAATTTGCTGTTAATGATGTCATATTTTATCGACTACTTGATTCAATTTTCCTCAATTATTTGCAAATAGAAATGAAATAAAATACCATGTATGAACACTCGGTCTTTCAATAAAATGTTACGACCCTTAAAAGAACTCTAAATGGAAAATTCACCGACTAGAAAGAAGTAATCATTTAACAACAATATCATCGGCTTGAACCCACTTGCAAAGGCCCTTATTGGTTAGACATAATTCATGAAAATTATTGAGTTAATTAACCTTAATAAAACTCTGAAATCAATTTTCAAGTCAAAATATTTGCGAATTTTCAAATTCATACTTCATGATATAATTAGCATGTGGGGTGGCTTAGAAAGGGATATCTATCTTATGTCCTAACATCCATGACGATGTAATGGAAATAGCGCCAAATTAAGCTCAACCATGTGACAAAATTTTGTCAGTTGTTCAAATATTTCTTGACTTGTTAAACATCTATTAGATATTACGCAGCAGACACCCTAGTTGGTGTACTTGTTTCGTTTAATAAGACATGCCTAACTTTACAAGACCTATCCAAAGAAGAGGTTCAAATGCCTAAATTGGATATGGTGATGGTATTCCGGAACTAACCTTACGAAAAAAAATACTTTGAAAAAACCATCTCTCTCTCTCTTCCTGGTCAATGTTGACAGGAAGGGTTGAACATTTTGCCACCGGTATACCAAAAAAGACCTACAAGTTGTAAAAATTTTAAATGCACTCTACCTAATAGATGTGCGCCTGTGGGAAAAATATCGACCCTTTCACTGCTTGTTAACTTAAATTGATTTAGGGAATTCCTTAACAAAATTTATGGGGTATAACTTGATAACTAGATGTTTAAAATACTCATCCGTTAAATTTTTCCCTCTATTATTGTTAAATTACTACCTTTTTCTAGCAGAGAGTCTAGCCGCAGTGTCATACAGACATCTAAATTGAATCTATTGTAGACATCGAGGGATGCGCGATAGAATTAACTCCATGTGGTGCACACTGGGCAACGTATACTCATACGACAATAATGTCTATTAATCGGTAGTTTACTTCTGATTTCTAACTACGACCCCCCCCCCTCCCCGGGGTGTCATATTCGACCACTTCCACAGTGCTCACCTCACCTTTTTTCTACTTTCGTGTCTGTCTATTTCACATCTTTGAAACATTCTTCTGTCCCCCCCCCCTCTCGACTTTTTCCACTTTGATGTTCCTTCTCCTCTGTGATACCTGAAATCAACTAAAGGGTTAATGATAACTATCAACACGCCTGGCATTTGATATAAATTGTTGACAACGATTGCAGCTACAATTTGCTAACCAGATCTTGGATCTATTTCAAAAAAGTGAAGCGTTGAGCTATCTAAATAGCATGAAATCTGGTCTACGCAGAATTCAGTTTTGATAGATCAGTTCAATATCCTGATTTTAACCATCACTTTCTAACTTCATCTTTTTATTCATTTTCGCGCTTTGATGCATGCTCATAAATTAAGGTTGTCAAATTAATTATTTCACCTAGTTTACTGATTACAAGAACAATTTCCCGAAATACTAAAAGTACACTTGCTGGAAATTGAACGTCACAATTCTTAAGTGGGAACATAACGGTAAAGCATTCAAGTTTATAGATGTGGTAAAACGTGTTTTATTAATGTCTCTTAAAGTATGCATTAAAGTTTGTTCTCAAAGAATAATCACGTGACAATTTATTGGATGTTAACCAATATTTTCTAAATGTCAACCACGGTCAAACGTCTTTTTGCTTGA